GATGAATGAATGTGAGAAGAGTTAGTCGTGGAGATAAGAGAGGTACTAGGGGGTGTAGGAAGGATTTGATTTTGACCAATTCGGTCTCTGGTGCTGTTATGGGTATGAGGGCGGTTGTCACTTCCCGGCTGCCCACACCGTGGAAGGTTGTTTCTTGAGGAACCTGAAAAGGAAGATAGATTAGGGTTGGTCTTGGAGACCTGGAAGCGTGAGTCCAAGGGACAACTGCTTGAGGCCAGTCACGCATGGCCTTTTTATCAAATGTTTTTTGAGGATTAGCTCCGTTCTTAAAGGCCCTTAGTGGGCACCCTTACCCAAGGAGACGGAAATCCGTGAGTTAGGGGAGGTGTGACATTTTTAGGGCCGACCTTTTCTAACCCTTCCTTCCTTGTGAGAAGGCAGCATCGCTGCAGATGCTGGTTGTCCGTGGGAAACACCTTACTGCTGTCACACCCCTCTGCAGTCAGCAGTACGACTTCGCCCTCAGACCTTGGGTAGCTGCTTTTAGTCTCATCGTTCTCCAATCGACCTGCCTGGCATGGTAGAACCTTGAGGAACATATGTTCCAGCCAGTATAGCTCGGTTGGGTCATCACGATAGGCAAGCCCGACCACCACGTCAAGGTAGCAGCTACGGTCGGGTATTGGATTTGAATTGACAATTATATCTCTGTGCTGATGTGGTATGGCAACATGAACTGATGTACTTATGTACGAAGTTCTACGTTGCAACTGACTGACTGACTGATTAATATAACCATTGTAACGAAGATTGAACTGCTAAAAGACCCTCAACTAACGTTCAAACTACAGAAATATACCATAAATGCAATCAACTGGATCACTAAACCAAAGCAATGAGTAGTAAAAATGAAAAAAGAATCTATTTTGTGTAAGGCAATTAAATTAGTCCGATAGTAAGGTAAGTCTGTTAGGTTATATTAATACATATTCACCTATTTTTATATTATTGATTTAAGCTCTTTTTCTATGCATACATAGATCCGTCTTGAATCATTTAAGATCAATGATTAACGCTTCACTCTTAATATTTTCAAACATGTTTATTATGTGTTGATTCGCTCAGTAAAATACGTCATTGAGTAAGGTGGAGATTAATTTACTGTGAAGGTGACTCTCGTCACGATTCGATGTTAGTTGAAGAATCGTTATTGCCTATCAGGGGATATGAAACAGCCGCTTTTTACTTCGTTTGACACCCCTATTATGCTCAATCAATGGCCCTACCGGGCATCTGATCCAGGTTATTTAGCAATTACTTACAGAGATAAGTCTTCTGAATTACTCCAGTTCCTGTCATTCAAATTCGTGAAACAATAGCTTTCAAAGTTTCACACTACCATTTATTCACCCATTTCTAGCAGTCATTGAATTAGAATTCAATAGTCTGTTTATCTTACCTCAGTGGATTCACGATATAGTGTGACCATCAGGCATTGTCATCAGTAATGTATCTCACTTACATGGTTGAACTCCATGGGTTATGATCAATTGAGAATTCGTCAATCTATCTCCAAGTTAGTCACTAAGTAGCACGCTATTACTCATGCCTTCAGTAAATTAAATTCAAACTCAGTGGTTTGAAAATAACATTTGCGTAACTTGAAGGTCCTGACGAATTCCTGGATGCCTACGTTCTTCAGTGATTATCAAGGTGAATGACTTAATTGTTTATATGAACGAATATGTACATATGTTGAACATGAAATAACTAGGTACTAAATACAACACAATCAAATGTGTATATACTACTAAGGTTTTTGCGCCGCTGTCGATTTTTCTAAAACCTATGCAACACTGAAACACTCAGTTATGATTGGGAGATATTTCCCAAAATGTCCTAAAAGTTTCATAATATTGATTATGTTGTCATGTTGGCTCTTATGGTATTGTCCAGTTTATAAACTCACCTTTTATTTAGTATAGTCCGTGTGAACTTGTCGTTAGTCAGCCACAGCGTAGAATTTCTTACGTACGTCACACACAGACATTTACAACGTAGAACTTCATAAACATGTCTATGCAAAACTTCAATATCCTTGTCAACTCTAATCATGGTTAATTTTAGCTCTAACTATTGTATACTCTCACTATAGCGTTATTTTTTTTTACTGGTTAGCGATTTTTTGGCAAGTTAGTTTTTGACGGGATGGGGTCGCCAACCCGATGCCCAACCCTCCTCCTTTATCAGGGCTTGGGACCGACAGTAGCCTCGAAGGTTCTACTGGCGGAGTTACTCTCATTATAATCTATTACATTGTTACATCAACTGATACGTTCTTTCTGTGTTTAAAAGTTGTCCCTTTTAAATGTACCTCAAAAGTCACCATATAGTTTTATCACTTCAAGTACAGGTAATTAGTAAATGTTCTAGTTGAGAAGACGTGACCAATGGAGTTCGACCCTGTCGGGTGTAGGCAGTAACTACCAAAGACAAATGGGTGAGGTCGCGCAAAATTCCTAGATCAATCAGAGTTAGACATTAACACCGTTGGATACCAGCTTGCCCAGTGGTCCGATGGTTAGGCGTTCGCGCACAATACCGAAGGTCCCGGTTTCGAATCCTGCGAGGAGCAGAAGTCGTGGATGCGCACTTCCACTGATGAGTCCTCCATACCAGGACGAAACGGCTGTCCAGTGCTTCCAGGTTTCTTCTACTGGTGCTCTGTCTAACAATGATTGATTGATGATTTCAAATGTGTAAAAAAAAAACACAAACCTCCAAAACTCTGCCCAAAAATGTTTTTTTTGTCATACCGTTTTCCTTGCTTTCAATTTTCATTAATGCCTCTTTTCATTTTTTTTTATTTATTCAGTGGTGTATTAACCATAGTTCATTGTAAAACATTACTTCAAAAAGTGGCTAATCTAATTCTTCATACACAACATAAAAAAGAATTGTGTATTATGGATTCATCTTCACTGGATCAATTGCATTGTCAATTTGAACGAACTCGAAGCACAGTTGATCATTGTCTTACGCTACAATTATATTTAGGAAATCGGTTAGTTATCGTTGTACATAGTGATTTTTGTTTTCACCATAATATTTGTTATAACTTCAGTTTGCTGCGGTTTCTATCCTTCCCCACCTTCTTTCTCATTATATTTCAAGAACGAAGTTGTAAATGTACCAGTTCATATGCATTTCCACCTTCACTTCTGTTGGGCATGTTAGATCCCCAAAACTCACTTGATGCATGTCTTGATTTTGGATTTTATTCATGGGCTGATCAGTTGATCTTGAGATTATATTTCCCACCCTCAGAAAATTCTTGGCTGTGATTGGTTGATGTGTTATTTTAGTACGCTATTTTTGTGACTCTCCCAAGGACGTTTCTATGATGTATAAATGAACGCGATTTATGTTCTTGAGATCAGTTAGTTTGGGGCAACGGATCAAAGTAGCCTATCATGTCACACTGGTTCATTGTCTCGTTCTCGTGTATCGACTAAAGTGAACTGGTAATAGTTTCTATCAAGCATATCAATTGACAAGCATAACAACTTCCTGCCATTGTATTTTATATGTATAATGTCCACATATTCAGTTATAGCTTACCAATCATACAAAATGTTCATTTAAAGATTTCTAGCTCAGAAGTGTAATTTTGCTGGAGTTTTGAAACAAATTGAGGCTCTATTCTCGTCTGCATCAACAACAACTAGCCATCAAATGTCATGATGTGTATATTTACTATTTGTCGAAATAACCGACCACAATTGGTTGACAATTTTGTGAACTTTAGTACGCTAATTTTTGATAAAATAGTTGGTTTGAGTCAGTCAGTCAGATGCAACATAGAACTTCGTACGTAAGTACATCAGTTCATGTTGTCATACCACATTAGCACAGAGACGCAAATGTCCAATCAAATCCCATAGTGATAGAGATAGTAGAGGTATTAATGGTAATGAAGAAGACTGGGGTTTGAAGATATTATTCAAGAAGTATAATTCAGGGAGATAACCTTAGAAAGAGAAAGATAGAGGTAATGACGAATTCAGAAGGTTAGAATTTGAGAGAACACAATGAATGAATGGACCTGCGTCATTGCAAACGGTTTTGAGCCATGTCATTCAAGGTCTCTAACCACCCGTGACATTCATCTCCCAGACCCCAACTAGGTAGCCTATATCTACCAACATCACTCAGTCCACTTGTCAGTGACTTCATGGATTTCTACCATGTTTTGGTCTGTCCACCCCTAGTTATCTTCCAACCTAATTCCTACACCACAAAACATCGCTCGTCAAGGCAGTCAATGGTTAGGCATTCGTAACACATGTCCCAACCACCTCAACTGGTGAAGATCCGATACTCCATCTACTGATCTGCGATCCTTACCTAGAACTCGTTTCCTAGCGACATCCTTGCTTACTCGGTTGTCCCACGAGCAATGCTTCGGAGACATCGATGATCGAATACTAGTAACCTACGAACATCATCTACTTTTAGCGGCCATGTTTCGCATCCATATAGGAGAACGGAACGAACGGATAGCTCGCCTACGCCATAAACGGCGTAAATTGGCAAAAGCCTATCGAGCTTTCTGTATCCATGCTGAGATTTCGTCAGTCGCCAGCACATCAGCACTGAAGTGAAGCGGTCTACCACTTCACTCCCTATCACTAGTTCAGGTGCCAATCTAACCCGATCTCGAAGCACCATTTTGTATTTCTAGGGTGAAATCCACATCCCGAACATGCTTGCATTGTTGCTTATGGTAGTCAGAAGACTCTACACACGTGCGCTGCAAACGATTCAAGTCCTTAAATCATTATTCCTGGTCTTTTGAAGTTGGTTTGAACTTTTGACGAATTAACACACAATGAATTTTTCTAACTAGCCCGTACAATATAATCAAACTATAGATTTTTTTTCTTCTTAAAAACCATTTGTTTAAATTTTTTAACGTTTTACTTTTACACACACGTGGTGATGGTAATTTTTTTTGGTTTTCTTGTTATTGTTGTTAGTGTTGAATTAGGCATAGCTTGTGCATTAGCTAATATGAATTGGATATTACCTGGTCGTTTAAGTTTACTTATACGTCCATTAATGGATACTATACGATGTGTTAATAAACCATGTGTTAATCAATCTACTACTACTACTACTACTAATCATCCCCTACAATCATCATTATTAACTTCAACTACTACTAAAGATGGTATTTTCCCGCTAAATACTCAATCTAATGTTACTTCGACTACAACAACTACTACATCATCGATCTGTGGTGGAGTTGGTGGTAGTGCTGCTAGTAGTGCTAGTACTATTACTACTACTACTAATAGCAATACTGTGATTGTGAATACATGTATAGATTATATACCAATTGGTACATGTCTACATCTTCAACGTTTAGCTGCTTATTGTTTAGCACGTCTTTTATGGTTAGAATGGAAAATGTTACTAAGTACTAAACAGTCATCATCATCAACAACATCATCGTCGTTGACGAATAACAATTTGCAGCTGAATACTTCTAAAGCTGCTGTTAAAGTAATCAAAAATCTTACTTCTTATTTGATAGAATCTGATCCAGGTTAGTGATAAGTTTTTGTTTTTACTTATTGTTGTAACGCTTGTTTGAAATAATTCCCAGCTAATTCCTATTGCTTAGTATTCTCTGATCACACAATACACTGGACAAGTTCCAAATGAATCAAAAACACGGTGGAACAGGAAAAGATTATATTCCAAATAGCAAAGTTAAATGGAAATACAATGCCAAAGGCTAAGGTGAAGGCGAAAATAGATACAACGTTAGTTTATTTATAGCATTTACATGAGAAACCTCTGGATAGTAATTCACATGATCGACTGAATTAGATTTAGCCAATCAGGATGCAGCTAACAACACGAGAATTTTCTATCCTGTTCTCCAAGAATCGATCAGGCGCTGATTGGATAGGAAATTAGCCAATCAGCGCGCAGCTAGCGCAGTCATGCTTTAATTCCATCTATGTCCCACTAACATTTATTCATATTTATATCAGGATTACAACCTATGCCTAAAAGGCATTACAGACATAAAGTCGAGTAGTTGTGTGTGCAAGACATATCATTTGTTAAAGTGTAAAGAATACAATATGAAGTACTGTAAATACTTTTAAAGCTACGACATTCATGCAGAAAAAAAATATAACTCGACCTCAATCAATCAATCATTCGTAACGTAGAACTTCGTACGTATGTACGTACGTACATCAGTTCACGTTGCCATACCACATTAGCATACAAACTCAATTGTCACTTCAAATCCCATAGTAATAGAGATAGTATAAGTATTAGCGGTAGTACGAAGAGATTATTCAAGAAGTAAAATCTAGTGAAATAAACTTAAGAAGAAAAAGTTAAAGTGAAATGTGTAGAATTTGAGAGAACACAAAGAGTGGATGCACCTGCGCCATTGCAAACGGTTTTGAGCCATGTCGTTCAAGGTCTCTAACCGTCGATTATTTTCCTCTCGCCGACCCCAACCAGGTAGTCGACATCAACCGACATGACTAAGTCCACTTGTCAATGACTTCATGGATATGTGCCATGTTTTAGACCGGCCATCCCTAGCCTTCGTCCAACCCAAAATATAGCTCGACGAGGCAGCAGTCGTTGGTTAGGCATACGCAACACATGTCCCAACCAACTCAACCAATGACGTCTCACTACTTCATCTATTGATCTTCCATTCTTACCTAGCACCCGTTTCCTAACGATAGCATTGCTTAACTGATAGTCCCACAATACAATTGGGATAGAAGTGTACTCACTGTTACCTGAATCTTGGTTAGGGTAAAAACATACATCTTTCTTGATATTCGTATAATAAGAGCATACTGACATTCTTTTTTCAGTAACTAGTTATCGCAATTCAACGTTTTTACAATTTTACCCTAATCATGAACCGATTAGTGCTTGACCATTTTTGAAAATCTGGAAACATTTGGTCACTGTCTTATCCTCGTTTGAAACTCCTCAGCAGTGCTCAGGCACAAGCGGGAATCGAACGTAGGACCTTCTGTTCCCGCTATGCCAGGATCTCGTAGTGTACTAGTCTAATTCCAATCAGTCCATAATGGTGTGCGAGCATGTTTGATTGTTCTCGGTTTTGTGATTTTAATAGAATTCAGCAGTATCTTCTACTTTTATGATGATATTTTTTTAAAAATCCATATTCCAATTAATTCATTGTTTTTTTTCCACCGTTTTTTATCAATTCATAAAATCTCAAAAACTTTCAGATCTATCGTTCTCTTCAACATCATCATCATCATCATCATCCGAATCAAGTCATCAATCCAATGAGGATCAATTTTTATTGGATACCAAAATAACAAGTGGTAATCCATTGACTGTGAGTTCTTCAGCTTTTGCTTTACTTGCTTGCATTTTTTTTATTCACTGTTTGCTAACAACCATTGTACAATGCTTGTCAATTGTTTTTTTTATACTGAAAAGCCATTGTCTTAAGTCTTTTAATAAATATATAAGCCATATTGTTTGGATCAGATTTTGTCAAAAAAAAAATTACAAAGTTATCATCAGTAAAATTTTTTTTAAAAAAATGTGTTGAAGAATCTTTATCATTATGATCATATCATACTGAGTTATGTTGGTAAATGTAGGTTACCTGGTTGGGTGGGTTCCGAGAGACGAAAGTCACCAATAGTTAGAGACCGTGAATGACATGGCGCAGGTGCATCCACTCTTTGTGTTCTCTCTAATTCTAACCTTCTGAATTCCTCATCATCTCTATCTATCTCTTTCTAAATTTATCTTCCTGAATTATACTTCTCTAATCATATTTTCGCTCCCCAATCTTGTCCATTGCTGCTAATACTTCTACTTTTGCTATCACTATTGGATTTGAACTGACAATTGCGTCTCTGTGCTGATGTGTGGTATGGCAACCTGAACTAATGTACTTACGTACGAAGTTCTTCGTTGTATCTGTCTGTCTGTCTGTCATAGAAAAGATTTTTATTTAAAGTGAATCGAATTTTTTTTTCAATTAAGGTTATCAAAGTTTACAGAGAGATGAGGATTTAAAACGAAATCAACTTTCAATGTCCCATGGTTTAATGAACACATTTAGCATGTGTTTTACTTTTGTTTTTTTTGGGGATGTTAGATTCCCAAAAACTCGCTTGATAAGTGCCTGAATTTCGGATTTCACGTTTGTGAGCATCGGCTGATCAGTTGACCTTCAGATTCCATTTCCCACCAGGAAAATCCATGGCTGTGATTGGCTACTGTGTTATTTTAGTGTGCTATTTTCGTAACCGTCCCAAGGACGTTTCTATTATGTATAAATAAACGAGAGTTGCATGATTGATTGTATTATGCTTGTTGGGTGTTGTAGAATATACTTTGTACACTATATCAAGACTTCTGTTTTGCAGTTTGGGATTGGAGGTATCTTATCTAGACGCTCGTAATTGTCTCGATCGCGTTTATCGACTAAGGTGAACTTGTAATAGCTTCAATCGTACCTAGTGACGAACGTAACAGTTTTGTCCGAACATATATGCAACCGAGTCTACAATAAAATGTAATTGTAACGAAATCATTTCAAATTTCCATATCGTTGAAATGTGTAATTGTTAAGGGCATTCAGGAATGTTTTGAACAATGGAAACAGATGAAAGACGATTCCGTTTTTTTTCATGACGGTAAAATTAATTGTACCTTATATTTGGTTCAATTTTTCTTGCCATCATCTCATGTATTTACGGGATAAACATTGTTTAACTAAATTAGTTATAATTGTTGCTTTTCGTTTGTGTGCTCCCTATAGTAATGTTACTTTCTTAGAAGTTAAAATGAAAACAGATTTTATACCTTGATAATTTCTTGTTATCTTTTGTCGACAAAAAGTTTTGTTTATAGAACCTCACTGCTTGCTCAGTTCATGTTGATTCTCTCCGCAAGACGAAAGTCACAGATGATTATAAGAGACCTTGAATGACATGGCTCGAAATCGTTTGCAATGGTGCAGGTGCATCCATTCGTTGTGTTCTCTCTAATCCTAATCTTCTGGATTGGTCAACACCTCTACGTTTGTTTTTCTAAACTTATCTCACTGAATTATACTTCTTGAATCATATCTTCGAACCCTAATCTTCTCCTTTACCAGTAGTACTTCTACTATCTCTACCACTATGGGATTTGAATTGACAATTGATTCTCTCTGTGCTAATGTGGTATGGCAACATGAACTGATGTACTTACGTACGAAGTTCTGTGTTGCATCTGACTGACTGACTGTTGATTCTGTTTGCTTGTTTGTATCAAGAAAATGGTAGAACTTTTGAATTTCGAACCATAGCCATTCGTCCTTTAACTCATGAATGTAACCACTATGATCTTTCACATAACATTGTTGTTTGTGTGTAATCCTTTAGTGATTTATTGTGTCCACACATACCTTTTCTCAACCTTTACGATTATAAAAATACTTGATCAACAATCATAATGATGAATATTCAAACCTTCAACAAGAAAAATTATATTTAATTTCTTTCATCGAAATAACACATTTTATACTGTCAACTTGTTTGCTTCACTAATACCCATGTTGAACTAAATGTTTGATGTCATCATGGGAAAAAGAGTATATATATATGCGTTCGTTTCATGTCTCAAATAGTAGGTATATTCCGTCTACACTTATCCATAAATTATTTTATGTATTCAAAATAGATTGTGTTAAAATAGAGATAAATTTGCATAATAATTAGTCGTAGTGTTTAATTCAAACCATTTAAACTCTGTTCTGGGAGTTAGAAGGTCTGTGGTGCGAGCTACTTATAACTAGTATATGACGCGAGTAAAAACGTAATGTCTGGCAGCAGAAGATGGGGGAAGATCAAGAAAGGAAGAGCGGAACACAATGGGATTTGTATGAAACGCATGAATAAGTGAAATGTCAGACAATGGATTGATGTTGTTTGCAACAGGAACAGTCCAGTTCGATATGATGGATTGATATTTTGCAAATTAACGATTTACGATATGGTTTTCCCTATTTTACCAATTAACTCTGTAATTTGAGGTAAATACAATTCGGTTGCCTTCACCTGTGTTCTCCTTCACTAAAGGTCTTCTTCATTTAGAGAATATTGATGAAAGCCGAGTTCCTTTGGAAATCACGAGTATGATGCCCCTTCTGACATCCAAAACCCTTCCATGGTATGGGCAGCTGGGAAGTAATATTCGCCCTTATACCTACAAAAGCAAACGAGTCCAAATTGGTCACAATCAAATCCTTTCTTACTGATAGTTTTTTAATTCTAAGCCAAAAGATTATTAAGTTGTATTATTCACGTAGATTTTATGGTATTTTTGCTAACTTGTTGTTAAAGTACATTTTTTCTTTAACTGTGGAAATCGCATGACAATTTCTTCTCACAGTATCGTTTCATAAACTGATCATATTGAACTATAAAATAAGTAGGAATTTTTTGATTTCGTGATTGAAATACAATAAAAACTAGCAAGTACACACATTACTATTTCGACTTTATTGCATGTCATTTGTTTCCCCCCACTAATCCGTATATATGTACATATTCAACTACATTATGCATTAAAATGCAGACTTATCGATTGGATTCAATGACCACTGCGACATCGTCATCATCATTTGAAGCACAACGTCAATCTGCTCAATATCGTGGTGCACATATTTCTTTGTCTTGCATCTGTTACATGTTTATCACATTGTATCATCATGAAGAAATTGTTCAAACTCCTGATTCGTCGTCGCCATCATCAAGGTCAACGATGAAACCTGTGCTCGATCACCATCACCACCAACAACAACCTTGTCTGTATCATTTATCCAATACTTCATTAAATAGTCTACGTTTAGGTCTACCATCATTATGGCATTTATTTTGGATAAATCCAATTAAAATTATCATTAATGTTTATGATCAATTAGGAATTTTAACAGAACATAATGAACAACAACAACTACATGATATTAAAGAAGGAGATCATAGTTATATGACTTTGAAGAAATTAACTGATGGTATGTCATTGTTTTGTCCGAGTTTTTTTCTGAGGTTTTTATCTTTTGTGGTTTATTATTATTATTATTATTATTATTATTATTATTATTATTATTATTACGAGTTTACCGTAGTCGGAAAACGAGAGCGAGAATTAAGGATTCGATGACGTGACATGCTACTCTAATCCGATTGTCCTAACCCTCCGCTTATTGAGTAAAAGAAGAAGACTTGATGTGACGTAGAACATGTATTCTAGAAACATCCAGAAAGTACCAGGTCTGAGTCCAGAGGAGGATAAGGATCTCGGACTAGGGATCCGGGGTTTCGGGTCGGGTCATAAAACGTTACAGATAATGCATATTTATACAGTTAGGTCGAATAAGAAAGAACATTGATAGTTAGGTTGTCCAATGAGAAACAACATTTGAAGTGACATTGACAGTTAATTCGACCAATAGGAGACAACATTAAAGTATGTAACATTGATAGTTAAGACGACCTTTAATATTGACCAATAGGAATCGACCAATAGAATTTACTCTTACAAAATAATTCTTTATAGGTTATTTGGTGAATATCATAACAAATACAATGTATTTGTTTATGTGAAGATCTAGATTAGCTTTCCTGTAAAGTGTACATTGTTTCTGTCTTGTAGGTGATACCGTAATTCGTACCATTCAACGAAAATAGTCACAGTTTTGTTTTTCCAATCTTCTCGTTACTACTTAATAGTCATTTAAAATTGTATCTCTGTGATTGATTCGTTTATGTTTTTCACATTACACTTACATTACTTACACCTGTCCCCCCCCCCGATAGAGCATAGGCCGACGACCAGTATCTTCGAATCTACTCCGTCTTGAGACTCCCTTTACAGTTCTCTCCAGTTCTTGTACATTATTCTCATGTCTATCTCCATTTCTCTACGTAATGTGTTCCATGGTCTTCTTCTTTTCCTTCGACCTTGAGGGTTTTAAGTGAGGGCTTGTCTTGTGACTTAGTTGCGTGCTTTCCTCATTGTGTTCTATCCACTTCCAGGGTTTCATCTTCCGCTGGAATATGGTTTGTCCCTTCCCACTGTAGGTTGTTGCTGATGGTTTCTAGCCAACGGATCCTAAGTATTTTGCGTAGACGACTGTTAATAAACACTTGTATCTTCTGGATGATGGCTTTCGTACTTCTCCAAATTTCCGCTCCATACAGTAGAATTTTCTTGACACTTGTATTAAAAATTCTAACTTTGGTGTTTATTGATAGTTGTTTGGAGTTTCCGATGTTTTTTCAATTGTGAATGCACCAAACGAATCCTCATTATATATACTTCGTTTTTTCACAATAAATTAAGTGAAATCTTATAAATACACTAGTAATAATGATTCAATTATATTTCTATAAACTGTAATGCAAATCGATTAGTTTGTCTTTTATGCTGAAAAACAATTATCATCAAAGTTAAATATTTTTTGATAGTTTTATCGTACCAAAGTTCCTTTATTCCTTGCATGTGAGCAGTAAATTCATTTGAAATAAAAATATGACTCATTGGTTAAGTATCGAAACTTGTCCAAAGTTTTATATATATTTTTAATAAATTGTATTCGTCTGTTTTGACTAACTAACTATTAGACTGGAAAACTTCATAGTTCTCGATATAATTTTCTATTCAGTTTGTGATCAGATTAGAAAAAGAAATATTATCGTTGTTTTTGGTTGAAATATCTGTTTTACATTTGAAGTCATGAATCGATCAATGTTAGACAGACCATTAGAAACTTGGAAGTACTCACTGGACGGCCGTTTCGTCCTGGTATGAGACTCATCAGTGGCAGTGAGCATCCACGACTCCTGCACCTTGTGGGATTCGAACCCAGGACCTTCTGTCTTGCACGCGAACGCCTTGCCTCTGGACCGCTGAGTTGGTATCTAACCGTGGCAATGTATAACTTCGATCGATTCACGGCCGTCTTTCATTGCTCCCAGGTTTCTAATGCTGTTGGTCTAACATTGATCGACTCATGATTTCGTATGTGTAACTTAACAATCTTCACAATCCCATAAATACAATATCTGTTTTACACTGATATGAATATTATTAAACTGATAAATATATCGGTTAATTGCGCCTTGATTATGGTCATTATATAATGTGTATATTTAGCAAATGCAACTGACATTTGAATGACAGTTTCATTTTTTAGTCAATTAATGGGAATATGTGAATTACTGTGTCACTGTACTTGAGGTGTTTTTTCCATAAATTTCATTGGATATCAATCCAGGTTTTTTTTTAAATCGTCCTTCGTTGTAATTTCTTTATTTCAACGCAATGAACATTGATGCATATATATGCACTACACAAATTATTGAATTTTGAGCGGGCTGAGATTCTGCTGGTATCGTTATTTTAGAGGATCTGATTCTTTATTCACAAATCAGTGAAGCAACATTGAGAGATGCAGTCCAAAATGGTAGCCGGTAACCAACAATCAGTTTATACACTATACATTCTGTCAGGATTCTGAAGCCCATGTGTACCATCGGTTTGAAATCGAGGTGTTTTGGAATCCCATGGATGGGGTCCTTCGTTTCCGCCAACTCGTTTAAAATGCTGGACACTCAGTTTTAGTCCTGTTGATTTTTAGAAATAACACCTGTGCCACGAGAAGGCAGTCAGAAGAACTTATCTGTTATTGTCTATATGTGTTTAACCATATGATAGCATTTGGAGAGACAAAGTGAACTCTTCACTTTTGGGGACGTTAGGTCCCCAGAACTCACTTGATGAAGATCCTAATTTTGGATTTTATTCATGGGCTGATCAGTTGATATTGAGTTTACATTTCCCACCCTCAGAAAATCTTTGACTGTCATTCGTTGATGTGTTATTTTAATACGCTATTTTTGTGACTCTTCCAAGGACGTTTCTATGATGTATAAATAAACTCAATTTGTGTGCTAGAGAACATCATATTTTCTGGGTGCTTGTAGAATACATTTTCTATGCCATATCAAGACTTCTTGTTCAGTTATTGGGGGCAATGGATTAGAATAGCCTATCATGTCACATTGGTTCATTGTCTCGTTCTCGTTCACCACCGATTAAAGTGAACTCGTAATCGTTTCAATCAGGCATATCAATCGACGAACATAACACCCATTTTCTACCACCGTAACAGGCAATTCAGAGAGTCATTTGCTGTAAGTGGATTCTCTCGAAATCTGTATTCTCTTCGCTACTCATTCATTAATGCTTGTTTTTGACTTTCTCACTGTAAGCTTCATTAACATCAATGTGTATGTTATCTCTCTTCGCATACAGAAGGCTCGATTGGCTTTTACCAACCTGCGTCGCTTATGGCGTAAGCGAGATATCCGTTCGCTGACTAAAGGACGAGTGTACTGTGCAGTAGTTCTCTCCGTCTTACTTTATGGCTGTGAAACATGGCCAGTCAGAGTAGAAGATTTTCGTAGGTTACTGGTTTTTGATCATCAGTGTCTCCGAAGCATTGCACCCGAGTGAGCAAAGCTGTTATTAGGAAACGGGTGCTAGGTAAGAATGGCAGATCAATAGATGAAGTGGTGAGACTTCATCAGTTGAGGTGGTTGATACATGTGTTACGTATGCCTAACCAACGACTGCCTCGATGAGCTTTGTTTTGTGGTGTAAGAAGCAGGTTGGAAGAAACTTAGGGGCGGCCAAACCAAAACATGGCAGAAATCCATGAAGTCACTGACAAGTGGGCAAGTCATGGACGAGTGGACTTAGCCACGTCGGTAATTGTCGACTACCTGGTTGGGGCCCGCGAGATGATAATAATCGATGGTTAGAGACCTTGAACAACATGGCTCAAAATCGTTTTCAATGGCACAGGGGCATCCACTCTTTTTGTTCTCTCTAATTCTAACGTTCTGAATTTCTCATCATCTCTATCTTTCTCCTTCTAAATTTATCTCACTCAATTATACTTATCGAATCATATCTTTCAACTGACAGTTGCTTGTCTCTGTCTCTGACGTAGTATGACAACCTGAACTGATGTACTTACACGTACGAAGTTCTGCATTGTATCTGTCTGTCTGTATGTTATCTCTCTTCAATAATCATTAATTTTTACTATTTTTGTTATGACAGAAATGAAATTCAACCAGCTCAAAATGAAATCAATCAATTTGTCAAAATCTAATCAAAATGAATTAATCAGTGGTTTATTAGTCCTATCAACATGTTTACATGTACTTCTGCCATGTATTGATCCAGATCAAATTGACAATGGTTCCGTTGAAACTATTGATCATTTCCTAACATTTGAACAAATAATTTGGTTAAGTGTATTAGTAATTCATTTACCATACAAGGCATGTCGTCGTATTGGTGCACGTCTACTAGCTGATTTGACATTATTACGACCAGTGTATACATTGAATATTTTATTGCCATTATTATTGTTATTCTTAACTAGTAATAATAATAATAATAACAGTAGTAATAATAATATTCTCTTATTAACTGATTCATCAACAACATGTTGTCTTGGTACATTGGAGACATTTTTAAGTAAGTTTCAATTTCATTTGATTGTTTTTTTGTATTTTTTCTCTATAATGTGGTAAAGTCAACATTTGAAATGAAGTTGGTTTTGTGTATTTTAAGCGAATAAGCTGTTTGTATGCTTTAAAATCACATCAGTATGACTTTCGAAGGCTTACTTAGTTACGTACGCCTGTTACCCTGTTAGGATATTCATCCAATATCCTAAGAGAATTATTGGTCTATTCCCACTGGTCAATTTTATGGTCGTCCTAGATTTCAATGTGACGTGCTCAAATGTTGTTTCTTATTGGTTGTCCTAACTGTCAATGCCACAGACTTCGATGTTGTTTCCTATTCGACCAAAATGTATAAATACGCATTATGTGTAACGTTGTATGACGAGGACCAGGACCCGGTCCTGGATCCCTAGTCCGGGATCCTGTTTCTCTTCTGGATTCGGACCTCGTACTTTCTGGATGATCGTAGATGCTTGCAGGTTCTACTTCATATCAAGTCTTGTGTTATTTTTGACTCAATATGGGGGTTGGGATAATCGATTTTGAGTAGCCTGTCGTGTCCCCGGATCCTCGATCCTTGATCTCGTTTTCCGACTAGGTAAACTCGAAATAGTTCAAGCATATCAAGTTGACGTGTTTACGTGCAGGCGTAACATACGCCCAATGCAGCATAGGACGCCGACCAGTATTTTCCGACCTACTCTGTGTGTTTCTTGGCTTTCCTCTTTTGCTTTGGCCTTGAGGGTATGATTTTTGTGAAGAATAATTTTTAATTGAAAAACAATCTTCCCTATTAATGTAAATGACTAGACATAAGTTAACAATTTTCCTAAGGGGGTTACTCTCTAAGCCTTGAACCCAGAGATAGTGGAGCAACGTTAGGAGATTGGGTTTAATGGTAACAAGCTACCAAGTAATAGGTTCATACGCCACTTGTTCTGGAGTCTATGCTCGCCATTTGTTTGAAATTAGAGTGTCTTAACTCTTGTAGATGGATTATTCGAAGCTACCAGCTCGGTTTAAGTCTCGGACATCCGCTTTTCATCTTTTTAATGTCGCCAAGAACACCCGTACAAAGAGAAGGTAGTGAGTACGACTTGTCTGACTGTGAGTATATGCGAGCATTTCGGGAGGGGGGAGAGCAGAATCTCATACTCTCAACTATATCAGGGATTTCCTGTTCAAATAATATGACTTAATAATTGTTACGCATGCACGTTAACAGGTCATTTTGATATTCTTAGATTATTAAGATTTTACCCTTAGTCAGTAAACAAGAGTGAGGATCCGCCGACAGATGATACTCTAATCTGAGTGTTCCAACCCCCATATTGAGTAAAAGAAGACAAGATTTGATATGAAGTAGAACCTGTATTCTACAAACATCCAGAGAGTACGAAGTCCGAGTGCAGAAGAGAACCATGATCCTGGACTAGGGATCCGGGTCCGTGTCATAAAACGTTATAGACAATGCGTATTTATACACTTAGGTCGAATAAGAAACAACATTAAAGTCTGTATCATTGACAATCAAGAGGACCAATAGGAAACAACATTTAAAGTGCCATTGATATTCAGGACGACCTATAATATTGACCAAATAGAATTAGAACAATTATCTTGGTATATATTTGATGAATATCCTAACAATAATTGGATATCCTTGATCAATAGTCACATAAGCTTTTTTAACAAAACACACTACACAAATTCTCAGTTCGATTATTGAAGTTGATGATTGTCAAGGTGTTTGTCAATCAGCAATCTCATCACAGAATAACGTTTGACAGTAATGTACCTTAATTGTTATCAACTTATTGATTTTTTTGCTTTTTAGCGATTGTTGACAAATTCTCCAATTTACATAATTCATCTATTAGTAGTATTAGTAGTAGTTATATTCTTCAAAATTATCCACCCATCATTCTTAACGATCCACTTGTTGAACCGAATGTCAAGGCGCTATCTACATGTTGTTGTCAATGCCTTCTGAAATCGACAAATGAACAAACAATATTGAATAATTGTGAATTGAAGTCTTCCAATGATTTAACGACAACGCCGCCACTGCCGCCGACAACGACGACGAGTAACACCAATGCAAATCTTGTTAATGATGTAACCAACTCATCATCTACACCTACATCAACATCATCGTCATCTTCATTGTCGAATAATTTAAAATTGTTCTTACCATATGTTGTCTTATTATTAACGCCAACATTACGATTAATATCGAATTCTAATCAACAGATACGTTGCGTAGCTGGACGACTGTTTACATCTTTATTAGATTTATTACCTTTAGAAGTGAGTTTACTTACTTGGTTTCCTTCGAACTGATTGTTATCTTTTTGTTGACTTTAGTGTGTGTGTGTGTGCGTGTGTGTGTAAATTTCTCAGCGTTGTAATTCAAGTGACGCAATATTATTTCGTATAGAAATTGTGTAACTTTTGTGATAGTTGAGTATAGTTTTATGAAATTTATCAACATATATTATAGTACTCGTGTGGTGCGCGCTACTTATAAGTAGTATATGACGCGAGTGAAAACGTAAGGTCTGGCAGCAGAAGATGAGGGAAGATCAAGAAAGGAAGAGTGGGAACACAATGGAATTTGTATGAAACGCATGAATAGTGAAATGTTAGACAATGGATTGAAGATTTGCAAATTAACCGTTTACTATATGGTTTTTCTATTTTACTGAGTAACTCTGTAATTTTCGTTAAATACAATTCGGTTGCCCTCACCTGTGTTCTCCTTTACTACACTCGGTAAACTAAACCCGATCACTTACGATGGATTGCCTTGTTCAAAGATTTTTTTTCGAGGAAGGATTTGATTTTGACCGATTTGGTCTCGTGTGCTGTTATGGGTATGAGGGCGGTTGTCACTTCCCGGCTGCCCACACCGTGGAAGGGTGTTTCTTGAGGGATCTGAAAAGGAAGATAGATTAATGTTGGTCTTTGAGATCTGGGTGCGTGACCGCAGAGTCCAAGGGACAACTACTTATGGCCGGTCACGCACGACTTTTTGATGAAAGGTTTTTTTAGTATTAGCTCCGCTCTTCAAAGCCCTTAGTGGGCACCCTTACAACCGGAGACGGAAATCCGTGAATTAGGGTGAAGTGTGACATTTGTAGGGTCAATCTTTTCTAACCCTTCCTTCGTTGTGAGATGCTGGTTGTCCGAGGGAAACACCTTACTGCTCTGCTGTCACACCCCTCTGCAGTTAGTCAGCAGTACGGTTTCGCCCTCAGACCTTGAGAAGCTGCTTTTAGTCTAATCGTTCTCCAATCGACCAGCCTGGCATGGTAGAACCTTGAGGAACATATGTTCCATCCAATATAGCTCGGTTGAGTCATCATGATTTTTTTCAAACAATTACTACAGTGAAAATTCCTTGTTTTTTTTATTTCTGACCTAATAAAAATAAACGTACTTGTGTAAATTAATGCTCCTATTTTTTTTCTTTTACTAATTTTCGTATGTTTTCAAGTCGGAATTTTTTTAAAATGAGCTTCATTACCGAAGAAAAATTTTACTGAGCCAATTGAGTGTTATGTATAGCTGATTAGATTCTTGATTTCTATGAGGAAGTTTTTTTCTCTGGGTAAATCGTAACGATGTATCTGATATCAATAGTGAATATTGAGGAGAAAATTAGTTATTTGGTTGCCATCATATTGTAAATTTTAGAATTTTTCAGACCGGTCACTTCTAGTTTCCCTTTCCACACTCCTCGAGTCTAAAGCTTGAGTGATTACTGATTAGTATTCTTATTGCTATCCTTATTAAATGGAAGTACATTCTGTGCTCTTGCTGGATTGTCTTCGCACCTCTGATTTTCTTCTAGTTCTTCCCACCCATCCATGAAGTCACTGACAACTTGTTGGGTGATGTTAGATCCCCAGAACTCGCTTGATAAATATCTTTATTTTGGATTTATTTCATGGACCGATCAGTTAGTTGACCTTGAGATTACATTTCCCACCAGGAAAATCCTTGGTTGTGATTGGTTACTGTGTCATTTTAGTGTGTTATTTTTGTGACTGTCCCAAGGACGTCTCTATAGAGTATAAATAAACGTAATTCTAGTGCTTGGATTCATTGTGTGCTGGTTGAGTGTTTGTAGAATACAATTTCTACGCTATATCAAGACTTCATGCTGGTACGATTTGGTCAAGGGATCATAGTAGCCTACCTGGACGCTGGTTCATTGTTTCGCTCTCGTTATTCGACTAAGGTCAACTCGTAATAGTTCAAGCATACCTAGAGACGAGCGTAACACAACGGAACTGTGTCATGTTGCTAAGTGTAGACTGCTTGGTTTGGGTCCGCAAGACAAATAGTAACCGATGGTTAGAGACATGGTTCAAAATCGTTTGCGATGGCTCAGATGCATTCATCTCCCAAATTCTAGTCTTCTGAACTCCTCATAGCTTTCTTTCTATTTCTTTCAAATTTATTTTACTAGATTCATATCTTCGAACCCTAATCTTCTTCATTACTACTAATACTTCTACTACATTTAAATTGACAGTTGCATCTCTGTGTTAATGCGGTATGGCGACTTGAACTGATTTTCGTACGTACGTACGAAATCTACGTTATAGCTGAATGATTGACTGAGTGACTTACTGCTACTCATCATCTTCTGGTTAGACCCAAACCGCTATAATACACCTAAAACTAATTGACAATGAAATATGCCTTAAACACTAACATTATCTAAGTTAGTGCGCATTAAATAACTCGATATTACTCAAGGTTGTTAAACAAAAACTGTTTACTTTACATTTTTATTTGAATGAAAAAAATAAATGTCTTATTTTCAGTTTATTTAACAATTTTGAAATTAATTGCTATTATTATTATTATTACTATTATTAATTTTTTGTGTAATCCTTTTGCTACTCTCCTCTCCTCTCCTCTACTTTGCTCCTTCTTCCAGTCATCCATTCCGAATCCGGATAAAATGAAAGATGAATTTAAACAACTCCGTACTGAACAACGTGAATTCATTGATAATCTATTACATCCCGATCGTATTCAATTGTACAATCTTCCAATTAAAATTAATGGTACCCTACGACCATATCAGCAGGTGAGGTGAACTATATTTCTGTATTGAATTTAGTGTTTCTTATACTGGTTAGTGTGATAACCAACAAAACAATGACAGACAATATGACTTTCAAACTACCTTGATCTAGTCACAGTTTATTGTTACTGATTCGAAAAGCCTATTTTTAACTTGTAATTAACAGGTTGTATCAACCGGGTCTTTTTTCTTTTTTCTTTGTGTGATACCCGCATGTGTACACCCTTATCTATGCATAGATGAGAATTAAGTAGTATAAATAGTGAATGATATTTATTATAACCAGCACATGCATCATGCTACTTAATTAAAGATGATGATTCAACTCGATCACCATCATTGATTGATAAAACACTATCATTAGTGTGTTATGAATTAGAAGTTTTTTTAATGTGATCGATTTGATCTCGTGTGTTGTTGGTACGGGTATGAGGGTGGATGTCGCTTACGGGCGCGTTGCTCACACTGTGTTAGGGTGGTTCTTGTAGAGCCTGAAAAGGAAGACTGATTAGTGTTGGTCTTAGAGACCTGGTTGCGTGACCGCAGAGCCCAGTGGACCACTGCTTGAGGCCGGTCACGCACGGCCTTTTTATGAGAGGTTTTTCGGGTATTACCTCCGCTCTTAAAGGCCCTTAGTGGGCACCCTTACCGATGGAGACGGAAATCCGTGAGGTCGACCTTTTTTAACCCTTCCTTCCTTGTGAGAAGGTAGCATCGCTGCAGATGCTGGTTGTCCAAGGGAAACACTTTACTGCTGTCACACCTCTCTGCAGTCAGCAGTACGACTTTGCCCTGAGACCTTGAGTAGCTGCTTTTAGTCTGATCGTTCTCCAATCGACCAGCCTGGCATGGCAGGTCTTGCAGGAACATATGTTCTAGCCAATATAGCTCGATTGGGTCATCACGATAGGCAAGCCCGACCATCACGTCAAGGCAACAGCTACGGTCGAGCAGAACGTACGTATGAAGTTCTACGTTGTTATTGACTAACTGACTGACTATGAGTTAGAATTTAGTAGTTTGGTAAATTCACGAATAGAATATCGATTAGTTTTGATTATACAATGTAATGTACAGTTTAATCGAATGTTAGTTGCTCATGAGACTGATTTATTTTAATTACAAAGGAGAAGGCAGATGACTATTAACTTCCCTCAACCACTGTCTTATATCTAAAAATAACGCACACAATGTCAAGTTCCTTTTCCTATCCTATGTTTGATTATCTTGGCATTTGTCATTCCTAATGGATACAAACTGCACCTCAATTGAAACACTGTTTTTTTTGACCTATGAGAAATTCCATTTGACACTGACCAACCAATACATTGTCATTGTACAGTTAGTGAACAGTAATAGACAGACAGACAGATACAATGCAGAACTTCGAACGTATTTACATCAGTTCAGGTTGCCATACCAAAGCATATCACAGAGATGCAACTGTCAGTTCAAACCCAAGAGTGATAGCGATAGTAGAATTATTAGCAGCATTGGAGAAGAATAGGGAGCGAAGATATGATCCGAGAAGTATAATTGAGTGAGATAAATTTAGGAGGAGAAAGATGGAGATGATGAGGAATTCAGAAGGTTAGAAGTATAGAGAACACAAAGAGTGGATGCACCTGCGCCATTGCAAACGATTCTGAGCCATGTCGTTGAATGTTTCTCTCTAACCATCAGTGACTTTCGTCTTGCGTACTCCAACCAGGTAGCCTACATCTATCAACATGACTCGATCCATTTGTCAGTGACTTCATGGTTTTTCTGCCATGTTTTAGCGGCCAAACCAAAACGAAATACCAACTCAAACTTCTTTCGACCTTGTAAGAGTACTTTGTGTCTAAAATATGCAGAGTACATGCCAGACCGACGGATATTGCTTGCCGACTGATGATAGATTGTGGACTGCATAGCTTGATTACAATTATCTTATCCAACGATGTTGGCAAGTTCGATTCCCTAAACCTTGTCAATTAATCCATTCAGTTTCCTAACTACAGGTTCCAAACGATCCCTAAAATAAACAATTAGTAAGTTGTCCGGACTTAGTGACTTGTAGTGCTTCTGGATTTAGAGATAGATGCTTACTGATAGTAATGATATCAAATTAAGTCGTTGTTTTTTTAAAATTTTTAAATGTCATTTACAAATACTTTTTTCTGTCTTTCTCTCAATCTTGCTTCTCCTCAAATATATAACCAATAATAGGAAGGTGTCAATTGGTTATGCTTTCTTAATCGTTATGGTCTCAATGGGATATTATGTGATGATTTAGGCTTGGGGAAAACATTACAAACTATTTGTATACTCGCCGGTAGTCATTATGAATTGAAACAGTCGATGAAATTATTGAATAATAATAGTTCAACAAACATAGTCGACAACACAACACATCATTCAACAACGATGGTGCCGATGAAGAATAGAATGCATCTGAATGATGATGATGATGATGAGAATGATGCTGAAAATGTCCCCATCTCTTTAGTAATCTGTCCATCTACCCTATGTGGTCATTGGTTTCATGAAATACAACATTTTGCCCAAACGGATCATTTGAATCCATTGATTTATGGTGGCAATCAACTTGTTAGACAAAAGTAAGTTATCAATTAAACACAATTCACCTAAAATTGTGGGTTACTTTTTGTTTTTTTTAAAAATTCAAATTGGCTACTGAATTCAGTAGTTTGTTTAACAATCTACTTACTATATAAGATTTACTCTCAGCTTTGCTTTGTATTATAAATAAAGATTAAACTAGGAATTATTGCACAATACATGAAGTAATTGAGGATAATTTGAGTTTATATAAAGTTGTTATAATACTGCTACGTATGGCTAGTTATTCAGTCCTAGCGGCGTCCAAATTCAAATACATACCAATACGACCCAAAATACTGTTTCCAAATCTCCGACATATATCAGAACGCAACACCGTGGGATGGAGTTGTTTAATAATGGGTCGAGTACACAAGAAGAAACGGAATCGGAATCATGAAGTCTTACAGATAGTGCCAATTTATACATTTAGGTCGAATAGGAAAGAGCATCAAAGTGTGTGACATTGACAGTTTTAGGACGACGGCCAATAGGAAAGAACACTTGAAATGACATTGACAGTCTGGATGACCAATAAGAGATAACATTGAAGTATTTGACTTTGACAGTTAAGACCATCATAATTTTGACCAATAGAAATCGACCAATAGGATTATACTTCCAAAAAAATAGTACTCTTAGGATATTTGGTGAATATCCTAACAAAAGTGTTCTGTAATCAGTAATGATGACTCTGCATAAACTGTCAACTTGATTCCGTCGTCAAATTGAGTAGCATTGTATAACATCATTTCTTAGAAATAGAGTTCAATATTTCTTATCCATGTCATAAGATTGTAGAGGACACTACTTGCAATGTGCAGCTTATAAGTAGTATGCAGTTGTATGTCTCTCAGAAGTTACTGCAAAAAAGAAGAGTGTCGGATCATAATTTATAACGTGATCAAATTATTTTGAAAACTGGGAGAAACGGGGAAAAAAGACAACTAATAATCTATTCGTTTTTGCAAATGGAAGCTTAAAGTTAAGTTGTACATATTTTTTTACTAGTAAAATATATCTTCTCCAAATACATGTCTGGACTCTGTTTCTCTCATTAAAGTATTCTGATACTCGTCGAATTGATATACTTGAATGCTGTTACGAGATCACCTTCCTCGGTAAACGAGAGCTAAGACAAGTGATCCATTGACACGACAGACTACTCTAATCTGAGTTTTCCAAGCCCCCACTGACGGTATCAAAAAGTCTTGATATGGCGTAGAAAGTGTACAAGTCTACAAGTACCCAGAAAATATGAGGTTTTGTATAGAATAAGAAGAAGAGGAGCATAAAACTTTACAGAGACAATGTACATTGACACAGTTAGGTAAACGGTGCGTACCAACCAATAGGAAAACAACCTTTAAACGTATGTGAACGTGATCATTTAAGACGACCTTAAATATTGACCAATAGAATTAATCTTACAAAATAATTTCTTTCGATTAATTGATGAATAATATTCTAACATGTATTAACTGTAAATTTCATTCATCATATCATATAATGTGTGTGTGTCGATCAGTAGTAGTGATTAAATCAACACTGAGACAAGATTTTTTTTGTGTGTAAATGATAACTATGAACGACTATGAGTATGTATCACTTATATTATTACTGTTAGTTAGTTAAGTGATAGATTAGTATTCTTTTTACACATAAGAAATCATCAATCAATCAATCATTGTTAGGCCAACATTAGAAACCTGGAAGAAGCACTGAAAGATGGCTGTTTCGTCCTGGTATGGGACTCATCCTTGGCAGTGCACATCCACGACTCCTGCACCTCACAGGATTCGAACCCGTGACCTTTGGTATTGTGTGTGAACGCCTAACCATTGGACCACTGGGCCGCCTGGTATCCGATGGTGTTAATGTCTAACCCTGATTGATCTAAAGATTTTTAGCGACCTCACCCATTCGTCTTTGGATAGGTACTGCCTACATCCTACAGAGAGTTGAACTCCACTGGTCACATCTTCACATCACTAGAACTCCGACAAGTTCCTCACGAAGCTAGTCAGTAGGAGGTACATTTTATGATATTTTCAATTAGAGTTATAGAGATTAGTGTTAGGCGCTCGCGCACAATACCGAAGCTCTCGGGTTCGAATCTTGCGAGCAGTAGGAGTCGTGGATACGCACTGGCACTGATGAGTCACCCATTCCAAGATGAAACAGCCGTCCAGTGAATGCTTTCAGGTTGCTAATGCTGGTTTGTCTAACAATGATTGATTGATAATTTCTCAAATTATACTTGTGTAAAAAGTGATAGGATTCTATTATTCACAAAATGAACAATTTAATGTAAAAGAAAGGTTTTAAACTTGTGATCATGTTGAGGGTGTTAGATCCCCAGAACTCTCTTGATAAATGCCTTGTTTTGGATTTCACGTTTGCGACCATGGGCTGATCAGTTGACCTTGAGATTTCATTTCCCACCACGAAAATCCATGCCTGTGGTTGATTGGCTGCTGTGTATTTTAGTGTGCTGTTTTCGTAACTGCCCCAAGGACGTTTCTATGATGTATAAATAAACGAGAGTTGTATGCTTGATTGTATTGTGTGATTGCTGGGTGTTTGTAGAATATACTTTCTACGCTTACCAAGCCTTCTGTTTATAGCTTGGGATTCAATGTAGCCTATCTGGACGCTGGTTCATTGTCTCGTTCGCGTTTATCGATTGAGGTAAACTCATAATAGCTTCAAGCGTACCTAGTGACGAACTTAACGGTGGCGACGGGGATGGGATAATTGGATTTGAGTGGTATGTCGTGTCGCCGGAACCTCGATCCTTGTGTAGTGAACGAGAACACAGGTGGGGCAATCGGATTGTATTTAACCGAAATTACAGTTACTCAGTAAAATCGGAAAACCATATCGTAAATCGTTCATTTGCAAATTATCAGTTCATCACATATCGAACTGGACTGTTCCTGTTGCAATACATCAATCCATTGTCACTATTCATGCGTTTCATACAAATTCCACTGTGTTCCCACTCTTCCCCCATCTTCTGCTGCCAGACATTTAGTTGACACTCACGTCATATACTACTTATAAGTAGCTTACACCACACTTGCTCTCGTTTTCCGACTAAGGTAAACTCGTCATAGTTCAAGTATAATCAAGTTGACGTGTTTACGTGCAGGCATAACAGATCACAGTACAATTATATAAAATCCTCATTACTGTATTTTTCATTTTAAATGTACTCGTTTGTTATTTCTAATTTTTATCTGTCCATTGAGTTATTCGTTTTTTTCTTCTGTTTTTTTCAAATTTTGCTTTAGTCTTCAATCAAAATTACATCAATACGATGTTATTATTACATCATATGATTTGATTCGAAGTGATGTAGAATTTTTGCAGTAAGTATTTTTCTTAGAAAAAAGAAAAAACCTAATTTAATGTTGCTTATTCTTATTATACAGACAATTCATGTGTCATCATTTATAGTTAAATTTCAATCATCTTTGTTTTACAAGTGGATTTATGTACATGTGAATAATATGCCAATTTCAAGTCTGACAAAGAAATCTAATGGAGTTACGCATTTGGGTATCTGTTGTGATGTACGGGTTTTTAATCGAAAACTGATTTACTTGAACGAAGGAGACGATATTCTGTTGATAGTGATCAGGTGGTTTTCTCATTTTCGCCACTTTTGATTGGTTCACTAATATCAGGTTTTCACCACTGGGTCCCACTATACTAATTGATATGTTTTTGTGTAGCTTAAACTAACTACTTCAATGATTCAAAGAAATGATTGTACGAACTGAATAGTTTTCATTAAATTATTACCTCCCTCATCTCAACATGGCACAAATCCATGGAGTCACTGACTTACTGACTCACTTACTTAAGTAATCAAACGATTACAGTCTACAGGATGTCTAACCACCGACTGCCTCGACGAGCTATGTTTTGTGGTGTAGGAATAGGTTGGAAGAAAGCTAGGGGCGGCCAAACCAAAACATGGCAGAAATCCATGAAGTCACTGACAAGTGGACTGAGTCATGTTGGTAGGTGTAGGCTACCTGGTTAGGGTCCGCGAGACGATAGTCACTGATGGTCAGAGACTTTGAATGATATGGCTCAAAATCGTTTGCAGTGGCACAGATGCATTCATTCTTTGTCGTACCCAAATTCTAATCTTCGGGATTCTCCATCACATCCGTCTTTCTCTTTCTAAATTTATCTCACTGAATTATACTTCTTCAATAATATCTTCGATCCCTAATCTTCTACATTACTGCTAATACTCCTACTATCACTATCACCCTTAGATTTAAACTGACATTTGCTTCTCTGTGCTGATGTGGTATGGCAACTTGAACTGATGTACTTACGTGCGTACGAAGTTCTGTGTTGTATCTCTCTCTCTGTCTGTCCGTCTCTCTATCCTCTCATCTCATTATGTTTGATTTTATTTCAAGCTTATGGATTTTGTTTTTCTGTTGCGCAATGTAAATGTTACTGAGTAATAAATTATCCAAGCAAAGAAGTTTCTCTTTTTACAAAATCAAATTCACTTTAGAGGAAATAGTTTTGAAATCTTTTAAACAATATCGATTTTTACGTGGTGTTGTTATTATGCAATCGATGATGTCACAGGCAATAAAATCATCAAGGTTACAACACAATCAGTCAATCAATCAATGAATCAATCTATATAATTGGTTTTTTGTTAC